TATACACGTGCACACCCCACACACATGAAATTGGAGAAGAAAAAATGGGAATACTAGGAAGATAGACTTATGTAGTTTGTAAGCTGTTGAGGTAGACTTTTTTCACGCAATCTAATTCTCTAAAGATTAATCAGGTTTTATACTTATCAGTGATTTACTGCTTCTTATTGTTGAGTAGTATTCCATGGTACAGATTAACCACCGACAGTAACATGATTTGCTTATATGTTAATAGAATAGCCAACAGTTGAAGGACATCTGGATTGTTTCCAGTTGTTGGCCACCATGAATAAAGCTACTATAAACATTCTGTGTGAACTAAAGTCTTCATTTGCCTGGGATAAATGCTCAGAAGCACAATGCTGAGTTGTATAGTAGTTCATGTTTAGGTTTTTAAAATCACCAAACTAAACTGTGTTCCAGAGACTATATCATCTTAAATTCCCACTCCAAGTATGTGAATGATCCAATTTCTCTTCATCTTTAATATTTTATGTTATCATGGTGAATTTTTAGCCAAAGCCAGAAATCAAATTTTAAACTCCAAAGGTGAATAATAATGTACTTTGGGCAAATTATTTAACATCTCTGAACCTCAATTTCCTTCTCTGTGCAATCTGCCATTCCACATTAAGAGCTGTATTAAAAGGATAATACATGTAAAGAGTGTAGTATACAATGTGTGCTTAATAAATTTGAATTCCCTCCCTTCACAATGTTTGATTGTTTGTTGTTTCAGGCTTCATGCTAGGGATTGAACCCAGGCCTCATGCATGCTAGGCAAAGACTTAACTATTGACCTATTGAATCAATCTATTTAATTCTTTTTGTAAATCAACCTATTTGATTCTTTTCATAAAGATTTTTATTTACTATTTGTATTTTCTGTGCATAAATATTTGCCTGCATGTATTTAAATTCACCCAATGCATGTAGTAGCCAAGGAGATCAGAAAAGAGTGTCAGATCCCCTAAAAATGGAGTTGCAGATGGTTGTGAGCCACCACTGGACTCTGAGAATCCAACCTGGACTCTCTGCAAGAGCAGTATGCACTCTTAATGACTGAGCCGTCTCTCCAGCCCCAGCCTAATTGATTCTTATACATTTGAATATATGTGCTTCCTTTTGGTTCCCTCCCAGCATCTTTCAGAGTTAAAGTTCACCTATTGTTTTAAAATAAGTTAACAAAGCCAGAGACAGCATGGTCTTATTTTTTATTATGTTATTTATTTCTATTTTATGTATAGGAGTGTTTTGCTTGTATATATATTTAAGTGCACCATGTGCATGTAGCACTCAAGAAGTCCAGTAGTCCAGATTGCTGGAACTAGAGTTACTGAAGATTGTTAGCTGTCACATGTGCTCTTAACCACTCTCCAGCTCCAGATATTATCTCCAGATACTATTTTAAAGGAAATTTTAATTCAACTTTTCTACTTACCATCTGGGTAAACTTATGTGTTTGCTTGGCATCTCAGTCAACACTAATGATGGCTCATCTCCTTCATCTATAGAATAAATAAAAATCAGACCTACCTTACAGAGACACTGAGTTCAAACGAGAAATATATGGGAACAAAGTATAAAGAGTAAAGAATTATACACTACATGAAAAGAGAGTAAGGCAAGATATAGAAAATTAAGTCTAACTTACCTAAAAGGTCATGTTCATTTGCCTTAGAATGCCAAGTTAGAGAAACCACAGGAAGCAGAAGGACTTCTGAGTCTAGGATGGGGGTACCCAAAGGCATTAGGTGCCCAGAGAATATTAGAAATTCCTCTTTCATTTGTTTTATTATTTAAAAAAAAAGTGAGGGAGTTGAAGAGATGGCTCAGCAGTTAAGAACAATGGCTGCTCTTGCAGAGGATCCAGGATTGGTCCCCAGCACTGACATGGCAACTAACAACCACCTGAAATTCCAGTTCAACAAAATCTGATGGCCTCTTCTGGCCTCCATGGGCATTGCACACATGAGTGCACTCCCATACATGCATACAAAACATTCATACACATGAAACTGTGTATTTTAATAATGAAATGGAGATCTTTTTAAAAGTTAAAACCTCATTTAATTTTATGTCTTATAGGGTTTATACTGAGTACAATATTGATAACTGTATTAATTCAACAGCAAACCTAAAAATTTTATAGTCACTTTTGAAAGAGATGTATCTTTGCTCTGGAAACTGTTATTGAGTATGTTAAAGCTGTAATGAAATGCTTCTTCTAATTATATGGTTATTAAATGAATAATTTTTTAAAAAAAAAGAAAAAACTCATACACACAAAAAAATTAAAATAAATTTTTATAAGTTGAAAATTGTGTACTAATATTAATATAACCCTTGGCACCAACACCCTCAGTTGGTCCTGCCTTGAGCACATAAGGTCTCCTCTGGAAAGGAGAGATCCTGACCCCGAGATGGGCTGTCAGTAGCCATTTCACAAGCACACAGATAGTGGCCTGGCTCTGTTAGGTAGAGAAGCAGGTTATATATTCCAATTTTAACTAAACAAACCATCTTAGATAAGGAACTTCAAACAATTCCTTCAACACTGTGTGTGATGTTGAATGCCTTTACTCCCAGCACTGAAGGAGGCAGAGGCAGACAGATCTCAGAGGGTTTGAGGCCAGTCTGGTCTATATAGTGTGTTCCAGGCCAGTCAGAGCTCCATAGTAAGACCCTGTCACAAAATAAAACAAACAAGGAAAAAGATTCCTTCAAAGATTCTTCCATTTAAGATCATGCAAAGAATGCAGCAGGTACCAGCCACAAAAGAACTACAGAAGGGACACTGCTCCTCCTCACAGCTAAGAACTTTACCAGTCACAAAACTGAGGACATCAGTTCAACAGTCATTAGCCCAGTTTTTTTGTTGCTGTTGTTTTGTTTTGTTTCTGTTTTATTTACATTCAATGTATGTGTAAGAATGTTTTGCCTTAGTGTATGTATGTGCACCATGTGTCTGACTGGTACCCATGGAGAATTTCCTGGAATTGGAGCTAATAGATAGTTGTAAGCTGCTGTGTGAGTGTTGAGAACCGAACCCAGGTCCTCTGCAGAACATCAGATACTCTTAACCACCGAGCAGTCCTTCCAGTACCCAACCCAAGTTTTTATTAATAATCAAAACTGAAATTCACCTAAGAGAATTAAGCTTATTGTCTAATTTTTCTTTATCTTACCCTCTTAGTGTATTTTTTTCAAGATTTATTATGTATATGACAGTAAAGGAGGACAAATATTTAATTTTCAAATAAATATGCATAAAATGTTGCTGGGATTTTAAGTAAAAAGTAAGAAAACCATTGCTTTATTTCCTTAAGGTGCTGTTTTCCCCCAGTTAGTTCTTCATGTCAGATACAAGTAGGTCATAACATACCTGATGCAGAAGACACAAAGCTAGATTTCACTGGAACAGCTCCCATATCTTTTTTCTCTTTGTCTTTCTTTCCTTGTTTGTTTTTTAAAATATTTTATTAGCTTTTATTTTATGTGTGTGAGTGTATTGCCTGCATGTGTGTAAGTGCACCCATGTTGTACAATGCCCGCAGAGGTTAGAAGAGGGCATTAGGTCCCCTGGAACTGGAGTTACAGATGGTTATTAGCCTCCATGTGGGTGATGGGAATTGAACCTGGTCCTCTGCAAGAGCAGCCAGTGCTCTTAACCACTAAGCAATAGCTCAGCTCTTTGTTTGTTTAAGAGAGAATCTCACATTGTCACCTAGACTGAACTAGAGCTCATGGCAGTCCCCCTTCCAAGTTGCTGGGGTTACAAGCATGCAGTACTAGACCCAGTTTTCATATCTTTCTTGAGACTATAAAGACAATAGAAGCTTTCTTGCACCCTGTCAGTCTGAGGGTTGGGAACCAATGCAGGCTCCTCACACAGAGCTCATGAGGTTCATGAGCTATCAACATCCTCCCACTCAGTGGCTATCAGAGAAGTAGTTGTGGCATGCCACTCGTAGAACTGTGCCAAAGAAAAATAGCTGATGTTTACTAAGCATTTACTATATACCAGACCTTCTACTAAGCCTCCTGTGAATCATCTCACTAACTGTTCCTTACAGCACTGTGACACTCTGAAATTCTTATCCACTTTTAACACATGTAATAAATGAGTTGAGAATGGCTACATAGTTTTTCCAAGACCATACAACTAGTAACTGTTGTAGTCAAGATTCAACCTGTGCTGTCTCCTCCCTGGCCCTCCTCTTAATCACAAGGCTATCCTGCTTCACATGCACAGTAATAGTGTCATGAAATACCATGAAGATTTATTTACAACATCTGGAGAGATGGCTGTTGGTTAAGAGTACTGGCTGTTCTTAGTACTCCTAACCAATTAGCCATCTCTCCAGATGGGTTTGGTTCCCAGCACATACAAGGCGACTCACAACTGTTAACTCCAGTTCCAGGGAATCTGACACCCTCTTCTGGTCTCCAAAGGCATTGCACAACATGGGTGCACTTCAGTACATGCAGGCAAAACAGTTATACACATAAAATAAAAATAAATTTTTTAAATAATTTTTGAAGATTTACAACAAAATGAATTTTTAAAACTTGTTGCATTCTAAACATTTACCAGAACACATCACTGATCTTGTATTAAACATCAAAGTAAGTTACAATGATCTTTATAGGAATTATTCTTACAGCTTTTGAAAAATTCATCTTACCAATTCTTTTTTAACATTTTATTTATTTTTATTTTATGTGTATGAGTATATTGCTTGAAGTTAGGTAGGTGCACCCATGTCATGCCATGCCTGTGGAGGTCAGAAGAGGGGGTCAGATCCCCTGGAACTTGAGTTACTGACAACTGCTAGCCACCTTGTGGGTCCTGGGAATTGAACCGAGGTCCTTTGCAAGAGCAGTCAGTGCTCTTAATTGCTGAGCCATCTCTCCAGCTCCCATTCTGCCAATTCTTGAAACAACTGTTTCAAGTCCCTTCTGATGCTAACCAAAGCCAAAATAGCAATGCAACAAAATGTGTTCAACTTCCTTTTTATTCCACTGTATCTGTGGCTATAGGTCTCAATTAGTAACATCTAAGATAACAAGAAAAAGACGGTATGTGATCCAGTTTTTTCCAAGTATTCAGAGTAAGCAATGAGAGAGCAAAAAGCAAGGCAGAAACAGCTGAGAAAACTGGTCAATCATTAAGGCAACTAAGTTAATACCATGTGATACTAAGGTGTTTAAGCAGGGAAAAGATCACTAAATTGCAGTATCCCTTCCTTATTCTGGAACTTTCTAATAAAAATGCAACAAATGGAAGTATTGGGGTGGAAGAAAATTTGAAAAGCTCTATAAAAATTGCTTCTGAGGGGATGTTTCCTTACACAGTTGTATGTTCTTGGCTGTGCAAATTGAGGACTCAAATTTCTCTTCTCAGATGTCCCCATTATAAATACCTAAGTCATGATTTTAAATGCAGCATAATTTACAAAGTCCAATCTACACAGTGCAGACTTAAATGTTACTTTGTTACTGTGACTATTTTTAGCTTTGATAAAACATCATATTTATCTTTGAAAGTGGTTTTGTAAGTGATATTAAATACCACTGTATCTGAAAAGAGAAAATTCAACATTCAAACAACTAAGCAATTCAATAGCCAATATGATGCATAAATTTTGTAATGGAACAAAAATACTCACTTGATTAGATTCTGTAATTTGATTACTGACATCTTTGCTTGAACAACACAATGTGCATAGAGCCTAACAATGTTTGGAAAAGCAGAAAGAATTGCTAGGACTATAAAGAAACAGTTTCCTACTTTATTTGTCCCAGATTAATAACAGTTAAGTTCATTGGTTTCTTCCAGAAAGAGCTTTTTAACTTTTTGCTTAGCAATTTAGTTTATAGAAATCATCTTATGGATACAATTTTTTAAATCAATGCTTTATGACCCCAAATATTCCACCATGCATCGGGCTAGAAGGAACAGTGTCACTGTAATTAAAAGTCTTTATATGTCAACCTAATATTAAAAGTCACAGAAAGCTAGCATATATCTCCTTTGTTGGGTTTCTTCATCCATTGGAAAAAGAACTTTAAAAATCACTGAATTAAAGAAAACAGTAACAACCTATCCAGTCATATGGACTTGACTTCTCAGTCTCCTGTTTATACAAAGACAGACACTACCTAAGTAAACTTTAATTGTAGATCTGATGTTTCTGCATCCCACTTATCTTGTTTTTTTTTTTTTATATTACCTCTTAAAGTCATCATTTCAAAACTATGGTTAGAAAAGCACTTGCTCTTTTTCTCTGATTTCACATTTAACAGAATTTTTTTTAGGTGAATCACAAGCAATCTCCTAGAAAACCCCATGTTCTGGTAGCTTCTGCAAAGGGTAGGCATTCTGTCCAGTGCACTGTTTGTCACCCAGCAGGAAAAGAATCCTGTTACCTACAAAGGTATTAGGAAAGTGTTCCCAGATGAAAGCATTTATCCAATTCCAATTGTTTGAAAGTCTAAAATACTAAGGAAGATATTGTTTCAGGAGCTACTGTTTAAAACAATGCATTGCCTGTTCAGAGTGAAAACTCAGTATTTGGAAATCTGAATTAGTTTAAAAAATAATAACTGTGTACCCAAAAAGGAATTCCTAAAGAAGCATTTATACGCCAAGCATATGTTTTCAATTTTAATAACATTGGCTTACCTAAATATGTAGACACTAATAATTGCCCCTTATTGATATTTTCAATATTATTGTTTTACTTAGTTTGCAAAGAGGCCGATGAATAATAATGTAAAAAAAATGCAGTATCTGTCAGTATCAAGTTGCTGTGGTTTATTGGAATTGCAAAATACTGTTTTTTTAAAAAGTTCTGTTGAAAAGTAACAATTGAAAACTGCTCTGATTTTAAAAGAAATTAATATAGCCATATCCTTATAGGATAATGTCAAATAAAAAGTAATCATGTTGCCCATACAATTGTGTTTGTTGGCATTTATATGAGAATAATAGTGCCTTAAGGTTATTTTCATAGTCATTCACTTAACGTGGGATTAGCATCAACATCTTCATAATTATCTGGGATCACCCAATGGAAAATGGTGTGGTAAAATCATGTTAATGGTTAAGACACTCTAGCCATGTTAATACCAAACAGATTAACACACATGAAAGTAATAGTATAATTTGTACATGGAACAGTATGCCAGACCAATTCTTTTGGTGAGAGGGGAATTCTTAAGAAATGGTTCCCTTTTTAGCTACTGCTTCCTATTGCTTGAAATACTAAAGCAGTCAATCGTCTAGAAAACAATATGAGGAATATACATAGGTATATGACTCTGTGGATTTCAAATACTAATCTTTGGCTTTGCCACTGCACTATTTTATGAAGTCATCATTCCTGAGATTTGCTTAAGAAAGAAAGGAAAATACTAAAGAGGGAAGAAAAAAATCCAGGTGGGATTGTAAACGAAAAAATCAATTTTTCTATTTTGAATTTTAAAAAAGATTGCTTATTGGTCAGAGGGGCTGTGAGTTTAGTTACCTTGCATATTCCTAGATATATAGTGCATTTTAGAATGTACCTCAGGCCCATAAACATAGTATCTTCCTCAATTCCCCACCCCCTGCAAAAGCTGCAGGAAAGGAAAATGGGCATGCATTTACAAAGTAATGTGAAATCACAAAAGAATTGCTCAAGTCACACCCATCTTTCTTGAATCCATATAAAAAGCAGACCTCACATCCTCGACCTTAGTACTTAATAATCCTTGTTACACATGATAAAGATCGAGATGGGGTGTGAAATCTTGAAACTCAATTGAATGTAACAAATGCAGGTGTCTCCCCACCAGGGATAGAAATGTGTTAAATGACAGTACCTAACAACTTCAGCTGTGCTTGTGGGGGCGGGGTGGAGATTTAAATCCTGTTTTTCCCTCTTGTGAAGAAAGAATCCATAAAAAGAGATTTATTATCATATTTTCTGTTTGAAATGTATTTGTTTTTTTTTTCTTCACTCCAAAAGTGCCCCTCAGTATAGAGAGGAGTAAATATTACAATTTCGTTAAACAGCAGCCAAGATTTAATTGTCTGTGAAATATAAGGCTTAGGACCTGACTTAACTACCGTTCTGCTGACACAAACGAGGCTCCCTCACTGTGGGGAACGCTGCGACTAATGTGCACGGGAAAGCTACTACAGAAAAAGAGAAAGTGGGCTAGGTACCCCCAACCTCGTGCGTGGAAGACTATTGAAAGGACTTGGGGTTTGAGTCTCGCAGCAGATTTAAGGCAACTGTGCAAAGAGTCCAGCAAGAAAAAGCAGCTATGGAAAATACAACCAATCGTGCTAGTAGTTTAACCTTGAGGGCACATGGGGAATCCGATGACCGCTAACGTGTACTGAAGAAAAGTGTGTGGAGGGGAGTGCAGTGGAGAAGGGAGGTGAGGACAGAAAGGAAGCTAAAAACACAACACTGCTTTCCATCTGTGACTTCTACACTGTATTGTCATTGTATATACCTCGGTGGCTTAGCCAGGAACCTGGAAAGCCCATGCTTTAACCCGGCTCTGCGCGCCATGGCACTGGGGTCTAGGCTGGGCTCCTCCAGCCTCCGGTGCCAGGGTCACCTCTGTCACCTCCACCCCCGCTTCTCCCCGCAGTGACTCCGTGGGTCGCTTCCTCCACCAGCCCAGGGTGCAGAGGAGCAGGCGGACAGCTGCGGATTTGCCCCGGTGGCACCGCAGACACAAGCCAGGCCCTAATTGCAAAGCAAACACGGCTGAAATATTGGATTGGTCTCCATCGTGACAAGATCTGCGCTTTTGCCGCCAATTTGTTTGTGTAGCTCTATTTAAAGGCACTTGATTGAGGAAACGTTGAAAATAGCAGTGAGGGTTTCCCTAATGAGACCTCAAGAGGGAAGCGGTGGCCTTCGCCTAGCTCCCGGGGCTCGGAGGTGAGGGAGAGAGGGGCGGTTAACCCCTTCCTGCCCGCCTTTAGCGAAAAGTCCTCAGAGGTGCGCTGGGGGAAGGTGCCGGTCCACGGTTTCCCGCCGGCACCTCTGCTGACTGCAACCTCTTTGACTCGCCTCACCTGTCGCCAACCGGGGGAGGCACGGAGCCAGACAAGAATTTGACCAGAATGGAAGGGGCGGCCCCGAAGTATACACAGGGACTGGACCTCAAGAGGTCTCTGTTCGCTGACCGCAGCTCTGGAAGTGCGGGTTCCCCAGAACTCCCCGGCCGCTGCAGTCCCGCACCCACGGTCTTAAAAGCACTGAGGCCCCAGAGATCCCGGCGGAGACTCGGCTTTGCGCTGCTCGAGGGCACGGAAGCTGGAAGGCTGCTCGAGGGCACGGAAGCTGGAAGACGCGAGTTGGTGAAGGGAGATGAACAGAGTTGGCAGCCGCAGGAAGGGCGCACTTGGCTGGCTGACGCCCTTTGGGGTCGAGCTGAATCTGCAGCAGCTGGGAGGAAAGGGAGAAAAAAAACAACGAAGTGGGAGAAAATATATGAATAATTATTGAGCTCAGCCTGGTGTCAGACAACTCTCGACAGCGCCCTGATCTTTTTAATCTAATCCATAAATTCCGAGGTCTACTTCCTTCTCATCGTTGTGCCAGCGGAGAAACTAAGGCTAGAGACACTGACCAGGATCGCGTATTCAATAGTGGAGTGTTGAGGCGGTCCTGCCTACTTCTGATTCTAGAGCTTAGGATGCTAGGGATGGGTACCTGAGAGACCAGACCAGGGTTGGTCCTGCAGCCTGAAGGCCTGATGTAACTGGAAGACTGTTTCTCCAGTGCCCCCAAAGGCTGAGGGCTGAAGGTCAGTTCCTTTATAAACCATTTCCAATTTGCTTACCAGCTTTCAAAATAGGAAAGAAAAAAAAAATGATTGCAATTAGAATGCCAGATTTCTCTAAATCTCTTTTCCATGGGCTGTTTGAGCATCTTTTTGGTGTAAAGTCTTAACTGTATTGTTACAGGACACAGAAGGTGAAAAATGTGTGCCCAGAGTACAGGTGAAAAATGTGTGCCCAGAGTACATATGCCCACGAGTGCATGTGTAACAGCACCTAACAAGAAGAGTTCAGAGAACAGAAGGTTTGATTTGGGGGGCAGCATCCAGAAGGCCTCATGGGGGAGGCATGTAGAACCAGTGTAGAGGCTACAAAGAAGTGTGGATTCTCCAACCAGGAAGGAGATGGGCTGTTTGCCAAAAAATGTTGACAAGTCAAAGGATGACCCCACAGTAGAGGACAGTGTGAGAGTCACAAATTCTCCCTGGCACCCATCTCCTGGCAACCCTTCTACCTAAGAGAACTGCAGATTGATTAAGCCCTGAGCGAAAATTCCAACCTGGTTTAAGAGTGAAAGCTCAAGGTTTGGAGGTGACTTTGGTTGGTAGTCTTTGACCCTTCTGGAACTCTGAAATGTCAAGGGCAGAGACAGGAAAATGGCACTAGGGGCGCTCTCATCAGAGAGTCTTACTATGTTCCCGCTCTTTTCCCTGGGGTCTAATCTGAGATGTACCTTATCCAATCCGAAGTTTCTTTCTGAAGTCACACTCTGATGTACACTGGGAAAGAGAAGACCCCCAGGAGGTAAGGAGGGCTGGTTTCAGTCGTCCTTGCCTAAGAATGCACTGTGCCTTCTGTCAGCAAACAAAAAAGCATCAGTCATGCGGCTTTAGTGAAGTCTCCAAATGTATTTATTCTAAATGGAATTCCGCTTTTTCTGTACGCAAACAATTTCTTCGTTTGAAGTTGGATGCTTTACAAGAAGAATGTAATTCCACTTTTTATTCCTCGAGGTTTTGGCCTGTGTTAACTTAAATGAGCACTCACACAAGTATTAAAAAGAAAACCATTCCCTTTTGGAAAATGGAACAAAGTAATGCCTCTCCAATCACAGTACGGATATATAATCTGCAACAACAAATTTGCCTCCTAGTGCTGCGCATTTCCAGCAAGCATCCTTCCCTCTCTGTTTATATTATAACTTTGCTGCCTGCAATTATTTTTATTTTAATTTTCTGTCACTTTAACAGAAACCAGATCCTTTTCTTTTAATGTTTTGTACACAACATGTTCATTTTGATAAGATGTTCTTTCCTATCCTCTTTCAGCTTGCCTTTCCTTGTTTAGAGTTCTCTATCAGAAGTTTCTAATATTTCTCCCTCTTTTTTAAGAATTTGTCCCTGTCTTGCTTTATTTGTTTGTGTGAAATTTAGTTTGAAAGGAGATCAGAGAGAGCAGAAGGGGTTTGTAATAAGAGAATGACCGAATGACCCAAAGGCTGATTATCTATCATTAACTGGAGACTCGGTGTACCCAAATTACCAGGAAGACCTCAGTCCGCCGGATCCTTACCCGGCCAAAAAGGCAAAGCTGGAATGCACAGACTGGAAGAGGCACATGACATTGAAATGAGGACACTATTCCAGCACGTTTTCTTACAGGATTTCTCCTTCAAAACTCACCTCCAGTTGAAGGAATAAATGATTAGATGGTAATATGTTATACACAGATAAAAATCTGTATTAAAAACCAACTTTAACATTTTTGCAACTAACTTTTCTGCATTGTTTCATTAGAAGCAAAATTGCAGTTAATTGTCTAAGCTCCAGAGAATATTGAGAAATCAAGCCAAGCTGCTTTTGATCTGCTAAACCCAAGCCTTGTAAAAATCGAGGTTTGCCATTAATATTGACAATAAAAGTGCTTCTTTTTGTTAACCTGAAACTTAACCACTCTGACTCAAGTCCCTTGTCTATAAGCAAAGACTCCAGAAGAATGCAGAAAAGGCCTGGGAGTAACTGTCAGGATCTGCAAATGAACCCACAGAGTGGGATTCCTAGGGATGGCCCTAACAAGGCAGTTGCAACAGGGAGGGACAAAGTTCAAGTCACAACCAAATCTTTCAGTCTCCCAGATAACACCTCTAAAGCCCCATCTGAATTCTGAAAGCTTTCCTTACAGCTTGGAAGAAAAGATTTCTGAGGGCTTTTTTTCTTCTTTTTTTTTTCTTCATTTTATTATTGTTTTCTATTTTATTTTATTTTTGCAGTGCTGAGAATGAAAGTCCAGGGAGGGACAAAGTTCAAGTCACAACCAAATCTTTCAGTCTCCCAGATAACACCTCTAAAGCCCCATCTGAATTCTGAAAGCTTTCCTTACAGCTTGGAAGAAAAGATTTCTGAGGGCTTTTTTTCTTCTTTTTTTTTTCTTCATTTTATTATTGTTTTCTATTTTATTTTATTTTTGCAGTGCTGAGAATGAAAGTCAAGATTGCCTCTCAAATATACCTCTAGCCCAGAAAATAGTTCTGTGTATATAGTTTGCTCAAAACAAGAATGTAGATAGATAT